CCCGCCGCCGCCGCGCCGGCCGCCGCCGCCGCTGCGGCCGCCGCCGTCAGGTTGCCGTCAATGACCAACAGCCGCGCCCGCGCCACGTCGCCCGAAAAGCCGGCGAGCGCCTCGGGCGTAAGGTGGCGCTCGAGCGCCGCCACGTCAGCAACCGACGCCGCGACCTCGCCGGACGAGTCGAACACGATAGAGACGCAGGGCGTGGCGGCGCCGTGGGGCCGCATCAGGCCGCGGGGCGGGAGGCTGGCGAGCAGGGGGGGGAAACGAGGGCACGGCGTGTGCGAGGGGGTCGATGGGGCTGTGTGCTGAGTTGCATGTGCAGTGCAGGGTAATACGCAGAGGACATCCCGGATACCAGCCGAGTCAAGTGGACCGGCTTGGGTCCTGCGGGCTTGAATGCCGGCGATCCCACACCGCAGCCCCGATCCTCTGCCATGCGGGGCAGCCGAGCTGCGCATCGCTGGAAGACGAGGACGCACGCACCCGAGGCTCTGGCAGTGCGCCGCCAGCATGTCCCCCGGCGGGTCCCTGCCCAACACACTTATGAACAGCACGCCGCCCCTGGCCGCCGCCGCCGCCGCCGCCCCGGGCTCGCCGCGGCTGCGCCCGCTGCCGCCGCTGGCGCCTGTGTTGGTCTCCGCTGCACCGCCGCCCCTGCTCTTGCTGCTACTGCTGTTGCTGCTGCTGCTGCGGTCGTTGCTGCCGGCATTGCTGCTGGTGCTGCCGCTGGCATGCGCTCCGCTGGCCTGTCTGCTGCCGCTGTTGTTTGGGTCGTCGCTGCTGTTAATGCCCCCAGTGCTGCTGGCATGTAGTAGGTAGGTGGCAGCCTCTGCTATATTACGCCCCACGCCACCTGGAACCTGCCTGACCTGCGAATTTTTTGTGCGTCGCGAGCATGGGGGCAGGCGTGCTTTTGCGGCGAAGGCGGCGCCGCTCGCTACATGGGATGCGCCGCTCACCGGTCAACCCCGTGCCACAGGCGGGCGGCGCGGCGCTGCGCGCCCGCTCACCTGGCCAGGCACAGAGCCGCCGCGCCGAAGTTCTGAGCCGCTAGGATGGGCCTGCGTTATGCATGGGTGGCGGGGGCGGGCAAACCGCATCACCCAATTCATCGATGGGATGGCACATGCTTCTGCTGTGCTGCATGCCTGCTGCGTATGTGGGCACATGAACACATTTCCAGGATGAGTAGCAGCGCTTTGAATCATGACGAGGTTTCCTGAGCATACTCACCTGTACGTCCAGCACCGCGCCTCCCACGATCACCAATGCCATTGGCCGGACGTCAAGCGCGACGATCTAGGTTCGCGTATGAGTGAATTACAAGTGAAATTGCGCTTTGATGAGACGTGTGGTACTGCGACACATCCACACAGAGACTCATGAGAAGATCACTCTCCGCTGTATGGCGCCTCGAAGGCATCGTGGGGTGATTGTTTAGTCTAATTGAACGGCATAGCCTCTCCTTGGCACAACGGGCACGCTTGGCTGCATTGGCGCACGCACCCAGGTGACCTCGATGCAGCAGGCTGCATGCGATAGGAGCCGGCAGCACCTCGGTCACGCCAGGATTTGCCTTGGTTAGCTACGCTGAATCTCTTTTGGCGCGGACTTGAGCACCCTAGACAACGCGCGTACCGGCCCGCTCGCTGTGGGACAGGGTCGCGCCCCCCAGGCGCCTCGCCCCAGGCCTCATGGCGGCAAGAGCAGGGGAGCAGCCCCTGGTCGTCCCGCTTGTAGTCAGGGCCGCCCTTGCCCTGTCGGGTGCACTGCTGCTGCGCCGCGCTCTCTCGGGCCACGGGAGTGCATCCGACCAGCAGCTGCAAGGTGAGCAGCGGCAGCAGCAGCGCCACCACCAGCAGCAGCAGCAGCAGCCCCAGCAACGGCAGCAGCCGCAGGAGCAGCCACCTCAGCAGCATGAGCAGAAGCTTAAGCGGAAACAGCAGCAGCAACGCCATGCGCGGCGACGGCGGCTGGCGCGGCGCCCGGCAACAATCGGCGACAAAGCCGCGGCGGCCCCCGCGCGCCCGGCGCCCGCGCTGCCGTCGCCCGCAGCTCCCGACGGCAGCGGCGCTGGCGCCTCGACCGAGCGGCGGACGCCGCCGCAGGCATCCCTGGGGCCCTGGCGCAGCGGGCCGGTAGACTTCCTAATCCATCTGCCGGCCGCGGCTCGAGACTGCGTACTGCAGCAGGTCGATGTGAGCCTCGGCCCGCGGCCCCTCCCTCACCTGCCTTCCTCGCGACCGCGAGCGCACGCTCGCCGCGCCGCATACCCAGGGTCGTGACCCCTGAAGGCTCGCCCCAGCCCGGCGAGCGACGCCGCTGGATCCTCAAACGCCCCCGCGTCGCCTGCGAACCCTTCTGCAGCTGCCGCCGCTCCCCCGCGCGCCCCATCACCTGACTATACGCATGTCCTGCTTGCCTTGCATGAAACAAAACGCAGATGAAAGACGTGCTGGCCGCAGCCTCCGCCGACAAAGCGTCTTGGAACGCTTTCAACTCGCCGCCCGGCGCGGCCCTCCTGTACAGCTTGAAGC